ATAATAAATAAATACTAGCTACTGCCTGGTCATAAAGATGCAGAAGTGAGAATTTCAACCTATATTTCTTTCTTTGTGATGAAATATATTATTTAAGTTATTCCTTCTCTCATTACCATATGTAGGATGTATCTGTGGCATTTCAGTTTACCACTTGTTATGGAAGTTTTGGAATATAAAGGCAGGAGGGCAACAAGCCAGGGGAAGAATGGACCTTGCTTCGTGAACCCAGATCTGGAAATGGACACAGTCATTGAGGAAGTTTTTTGTCTTCTCTAAAAAGAAAGATCCTCACCATCCCCAAACACAGGCATTATGTTAGCTGAAGATTATTTTTAATAGTGAAAAAATGATATTGGGTTGGCCAATAGTGAAAAAAATCAGAGTGAACTTGGGGGTTTGGACAGTGTTGGAGATGAACCCAGGTCTCACAGAGGACAGCAGAGAGAAACACAGCAATGACTCCAAAGAAAATGACCAAGGAAGAAAGCAGATTGATTTACGGCAATCCCAAAGGCACCCAAAGTAGACATGTGCAGTCAATGGATGAAAGCAAGACAGTTTGTTACCAACAGCACAGCAAACAGAGGAGCCCCAGCATGATAACACAAGCTGCCTGGCCCCCATTGCCCACAGGAGGACAGGATGGGCCTGGTGAGCCCCATGTCCACAGTAAACTGCACTGCAGCTGAGGGACCCAGGGCTGAGGGCTCAGCAAACGGCAGCTGTAACCAAACCAGTGCCCCCTCCAAGAGCACGTCATTGCACTCATGCACTGGTCACTTCACCTATTTGATTGCCTATGTGGCTAGCTACAGAAATGGCTTAAGGTCACAGCACAGTTAGTTCTCGAAATCTGGGCTTCCTCAGTCAGGATATACCGACTTGCTTGAGGCTGATGGCAGAGCTCCTGTCCAAATTCAGAGCAAAGAGTCAGACTGTGGTGGGCATTTGTTATCATCCACCAGTAGACATCCATTCCCCTAATTGTTCTTTCATAACAATCCCCAATTGCCTTTGGGGAAACCACACAGCCTGCTGCAGCATTTGATGAGACGTTCAACTGGATATCCTTACCTGAACCCCCAGAGCTCTGCTGGCGTCAGTGCATTCCAAGGCTGGCTCTTCAATCCTATGAGCCAATTCATATTCTCCCAATAAGTTCCTTTAGGTTTAAATTAGAGTCAGCTTCTCTGGAATCAAAGGACTTTAATATAAAGTGGATCTTCTTCTTAAAGGGGTCCTAGTCCCTCCAAGGAAACAGATATGCAAGCAACTGCCATACTGTGAGGAATGCTATAATACAGGCACACACAGAGCACAATGGTAGCCCTGAAGAACTCCATCAGTGAGGACAAGTATCTTGAGAGCAATGTGAGAACAACAGGTAGATAACACAAGAAAAGATATTTGAGTCGAGTGAAGGATGTGCAACATCCTTGCAGCATCTAAACACATGGTGCCTTATGGAAACCACAAGAAATCTGGCATGGTGGAAGCAGCTGATTGAAGGGGAGCAGTGCTCAGTGGAGAGGCTGGAGAGATAGGCCTGGTCATTTCATATCAAAGAGTTTGGTTTTATTAAGGGTGAGGTTATAGTCCGATCTGTGGTTCAGAAAGACAGCTTTTTAGACATATGAAAGGGAAATGGATTGGGAAGAAATCAGAGTCATCAAGAGTATGGTCTTCAGGGAATTCCCTGGCAGTCCAGTGGTTAGGACTCCATGCTTCCACTGCTAGAGGGTGTGAGTCTGATCATTGGTTGGGGAATTAAGATCCTATAAGCCAGGGCATGGCCAAAAAATAAAATAAAAATAAATAAATAAAGAGTGTGGTCTTCAAAGTTAGACTGGGTTCAGGTCTTGGCTCTGTTATTGGTCCCTTTATGGCCTTGAACAAGTTCTTGAGCCCCTGTGTCACTTGGGTTCATCATCTATCAAAATGTGATCCTTAGAATATCTCTTTTCCAATGAGTTGGGTCGTTTAAGTGATCTTTGTAAAGTCTTAGCATAGTGCTTGGCCTATAGTAAGTTTCTAATGAAATTAGCTGTTATTGCTACAGTGATGACAGAATCTGGGAGCCCAATTGGAGTTATCACAGTAATCTAGGTGAAAGTTGATGGAGGCTTAAACCAAGGCAATATAAGTGAGGATGGAGATCTCCTAAACATTTGTGAACACACATTAGTAGAGTGATTCACCATTCCTATAGGGATGCTTTTGAGAGTGGAATGGGTTCACATTAATAATGATATTAGAACAACAGGCATAAATTGGGAAGTGTGGTCACCTTTCACATGAGTCTCTTCTAAGTTCTGCTTCCACATATCCCTCTTCAACACCAACAATGCTCAGCTGATTTGATTGTTAACACATGAAAGGAAAATTTGTTGTTTTTATTGGAGGCAGAGAGAACCCAACAAACACTGGGCAACCTCTTGGCTCAGATGTCTTTTCTGATCTAGTCTGTCCTGGATTTGTCCTGTGCCATGCTAAGTCACTTCAGTCATGATGACTCTTTGAGACCCTATGGACTGTAGCCCTCCAGGCTCTCCTGTCTTTGGGGACTCTCCAGGCAAGAATACTGCAGTGGGTTGCCATGCCCTCCTCCAGGGGATCTTCCCCTCCCAGGGATGGAACCCATGTCTCAGGTCTCTTGCATTGGCAGGCAGGTTCTTTACCACTAGGGCTACCTAGGAAGCCCATCTCGCTGGGATTTATCACTCGGCATAACTGAGCATGCATGGAGGCAGGGGGAAAGAGGGAGGGCAGTCATGCTCTTTCTGCCTCTCTCACTCTATTATGCACAATGTGAACTATATGGAAGCAGGTCTTCCAAGCTTTGACTTGCAGACTGGGTGACTTAAACATCATGTCCACCTAAATGGCTTTCTTGTGTCTCCAAAACAGGGCTCAGTAGCTCTTCCATATGCTCCCTAAGTCAAGTATCATGTCCTTCTGACTTGGTCTCAGTAATATACCCAGCATCGAGTGCAGTGTCTGGCACCTAGCAGGAGCTTGATAAATGCTTACTGAATGTTGTGGTGGCATCTCCCAAGTCAATATTGCCCATTTGCCCGGATGTTGGCCAAGGCTCCTGCCCCATCCCTGGTCTACACAGTGTGTCTTCCAGGGGACTTTCATTAGGTGCTGGGTTGGAAGAGTCAAATCAATTAGGACTTCCAGTGATGAGTGATCACCAGCTTCCCTACCAGAAGCCCAGTCTTCATTAGCAACCAAAATCTGCATGGCTAAGATGAGCCTTCATGAAATGGAACAGGACCATATGGTCCTTGCCCCTCGCCCCCCTGCCCCCATCATGTTCTCTGCCTGCCTTTTGCCTGTGGAAAACTTTAGTCAAAGAATAAGTTTAATCAGAGAAGTGAGAAATGCTGGAACAAAGGAAAACAGTCTAAGGATACTAAATAATAATACTTTAGTCATTAAGCACGGTCAAGGACATTTAGTTCTTTCTCAAGGGCTATAGATAACATTCTGAGACATATCCTGTGAGCTCTCTTATAGAGACTAAAATCCTGGGTGGAAAAGTTAACTACATGATGACCAGACTGTACCCAGGACATGAGCTGCCACAATTCTGAGAACTAACCACAAAGAATTGGGAACAAGTGCACCCTGGAACTAAAAATTAACTGTACCTAAAACAACCAAGATGATGCTGTTCAGACCCCTAGTGACCAATTTGAAGATGACTGTTAGAAATGACTATGCTGTTTCTGCATGTAGGCCCCCTGCCCCAGACTCTGTCTATAAATGCTCTTACCCCTGCTTGTCAGGGGCGGAGAGTCTGCCTTTGGACAGATGTCCACCACCCTCCCCCAGAGTGGCAGGCCTCTGAAATGAAGCTGTTGTAGCCACGCATTCTGGGAAACAAACTCACTCAGATGGACAATGCAGATAGTGGAGTGCAGTTTATTACACCGGCAGGCCCAAGGCAGAGTCTCCTCTTAGCCAAGTACCCCAACCAGTTTTTGTGAAAACCTTATGTACTCTAGGCCTACGTGTCCAAACCCATTTGCTCCAAATCCCCTGAAACTAGTCTGAACAAAGGAAAAAGAAAGATACAATCAAAGTTAACCCATGATTCATAAGCCTTAAGCCTAGGTAGTTAACAGTGGACAATTATCAATAGGCTTGTGGTCATACCCCAATAAGCATAGTAGAATGTATAATTCTATTTGGTTACACAGATAATTAGGGTATTCTTTTAGGCGATGGAGAGCCCTTCTCTTCCTCCCCAGGGCCTGGTTTTTCAGTTAGTATGTCGTTTCCATAGATACTGGACATATAGCTCAAAGTCCACAGTCTGGCCCAAGATGGAGTCCTGCTTTCATGATAGAGCTTGTTCTGTTCCCTCCTTCAAAGCAAAATTTCCTTTCCACCAACCTGGCCCGCTCATTGGCTTTTGAGCAGCAAGGACCCAGACCCCCACACATACCTTTCGGTAACATTCATAGCTTTACACTTAACATAGGATATGGGGGCAGGAAGACAAACATTCTTGCTTGGGGTAAGTGGGGCACCACAGAAATATCTCCCAGTCAGTCGCCAGTCTCAGGATTTCTTTCCCTTAGGGCTTGTAGCAGCCCTGTCTCTGTTCCTCTGACCTCTCCCTTGTAGGAGGATGTTGGATTTCTCCGCAGGGCCTTTCCTTGAGACTGGCTTTTTTGGCTCTGCTTGGCTGCTCTGGGGTTTCAATTGAGCAAACAGAACATTTTTTTTCCACTTGTTTCCCCAAGGAGTGAGCTATTGCTCCTAATTAGTCCTTCTCCAGCCTAGGGCCCCGCCCCCCGCCCTCCCTTCCATAGCACAACCTACAACAATTAGGGACTCAACCCGAGGTTTATTGATGGACGTACAGAAGCATCTTGTTATAAACACCATCCTACTTCTCCCAGGGTCATTTGGGCCACAATAGGAAAACTGCACTATAGAAGTTTGTAACAAGTGCATTGAATGAAACCTGTTTGGGCTAGGTGTTAGGGTCCCCAAAAGTTCTCTCCTAGGGAACTGGCCACAGGAGCCTGCATGTAGTACTCATCAGCATTCTCTTGTTCCCAGAAACTGTGGCTCAAGGTGGCTCTCATGGGTATATTCGAAATGACCGGGGATGACACTGGCGAGGATGTGTTGTTGATGAAGTTGAAATTGTCTATTTCAGTGGCACTGCTGGTGTTTCTGGAGTAGCCCAGGAATATCAGGGTCATTGAAAGCAACAGAAGAAAAAGAAAGCATTGGTAAGAATCAAATTTTAAAACTGTTGTTTAATTATATTTTTTCCAGCACGGATACCTTCGACCCAGATCTGGGTTGAAGTGAAAAGGCACCAAAAAGAAAGTTAAAAATAACACACATTTAGTATTCAGAGATAAGTGTGGTGAGTTGTTTTTTTTCCCAATGAAAATAATTTTAGGGTTATTTAGCCAGAGACAGGTAATATGGACTAATAATCTAAAAATGTCTTTGCCACAAAACACCTAGAACTGCTAGATAAAATATAATCAACATAATTTTAAATATATCATTACATTTATGAAAAGTAAAGTAAAAATCCCTGGGACCAAAAATTAAAGATCAGTGAAGTATGATTTAAAGCTGGGCTGCCTGAGGGACTGGCCTGTCTTGGTGACCCAGACCCTGGGTTTATTTATTTGTTTATTTTGGCTATGCTGAGTCTTTGTTGCTGGGCAGGCTTTCTCTAGTTGTGGTGAGTGGGGGCTACTCTCTAGTTGTGCAGGCCTGGGTTTCTCATTGTAGTGGCTTCTCTTTGTTGCAGAGCACAGGCTCTAGTGTGCATGGATTTGGTTGCTCTGTGGCATGTGGAATCCTCCTGGACCAGGGATTGAACTCATGTCCCCTGCATTGGAGGTGGATTCTTAACCATCATCAGGGGAAGTCCAGGCCTTGGGTTTTTATGGCCATGTGGCCCAGGTATTGGGACCCAGCTCTGTGGGACATTAACTTGAGAGAGTTAATTCTTAGATAGGTTGATCAGGAGTCTGAGGCCCTCAAAGGAGGAGACAGGAACAAACTGTTTTTTGTCTTAGTCACGTAAGACATTTTTTCTTAAACTGTGAGTTGTAATGGCAGCAATCTATTTCTTGTAAGACTAACTTTCTCTAAGCCCAGAGCTAATGATTACACAAAACAACACATCTTCCTCAAGGGTATGTTTCCCTTAAGCTCTGTACTAATGATTATGTAACAACAATGTATCTTGCTTGAGGACATGTTTCTCCTTCTTAACAGGAACCTTCTGTCTCATCTTGTTATCTTATGTTGTGGGAGTGGGTCTGGTAAAACTTTTCCTATTATTAGTTCTAATCCTGTTATCTTGAAATGTATGTTGTGGGAGTGGGTCTAGTAAGACCTTCTACTCTTAGTGAAAAGAAAGTGAAGTCACTCAGTCCGACCCTTTGCAACTCCATGGACTGTAGCCCACCAGGCTCCTCCGTCCTTGGAATTTTCCAGGCTAGAGTACTGGAGTGGGTTGCCATTTCCTTCTCCAGGGGATCTTCCGGACCCAGGGGTCGAACCAGGGTCTCCGGCACTGCAGGCAGACTCTTTACTATCTGAGCCACCAGGGGAGCCCAAAGTGAAAAGTGAAATTGTTAGTCACTCAGTCATGTCTGACTGTGACCCCATGGACTTTAGCCCCCCAGGTTCCTCTGTCCATGGGGATTCTCCAGGGGAGAAAACTGGAGTGGGTTGCCATGCCCTTCTCCAGGGTCTCTTCCCTGTTGGTTACTAACCAACTGAAAAAATATATAAAGCCTTGATAAGACTAGTGAGTGGGGCACTCTCCATCCCCCTTCTGATGTCTATGTCAGAAGCTTTCTCTGTCCCCTTTGCACTGTAATAAAACTTCTGCCACATGAAACTCTGAGTGCCTGAAGCCTTGGCTCTGGTTCCGAAGCTAAATTCTCTTCTTCGGAAATCATGAATCCGACACTGGTCAAGATATTTGCATAAGTCCAGGACTTTCAAAGCTACCTTCTTGACAAAAGGGGATACCAGGGACTTCCCTGGTGATCCAATGGTTAAGAATACACCTGCTGATGCAGGGGACACAGGTTCAATCCCTAGTCTGGGAAGATTCCACATGCTACTAAGCCCATGCTCCGTGGAAAAATAAGCCACCACAATGAGAAGCTCGTGCACTATAATTAGAGAGTAGTCCCTGCTCTCTGCAACTAGATAAAGCTCACATGTGTAACAGTGAAGACCCTGTGCAGCCAAAAATTAATTAATTAATTTAAAGGAGCAGGGGAATACCAGAAAGAAATCCATCCAGTGTCAAAGCCAACATGGATTCTGGGTCAACTATACCAACTTGGATTCTGGGTCAAAACAAACGTCTGTTGAAAATCCTTATCCTTGGGACTGTCCCAATACTTGTTTGAGATCTGAAATGATACAGGGTCAAATAACTTCCAAGCTGAGAAACTAATGTAAAAATTTTCTCCTGAGCCATTAATCTCTCTGAGGTATCCAACAGAAGCAAACTTACAATGGTTCTGTGGGGTCAAACCCTGCCCCTCCAATTTAGGCCAACATGAATCCCACAGATATAGGTCTGTTTGAGAAAAGCTCAGATAAAATATTACAGCTACAGATAGCCCAGAGGCCCAGAGAGTCAGTATCTATGTGAGAGACAGCAGAGAGAAGTAACAGGGCATCTGATGTGCCTGTAAACAGGAGGGCTTCTACATTGCCCACAGCTTCTCAGGAGAAAGTGCAGCCAGCCAATTTGGGAAGACGAAAACTAGGAAAGTAAGTGCAAGGGGCCTGTGGCACAGTCTGAACAGGCTGGTGAAATATGTGCCTTAAGAACTCTCAAAACCACCAGAACACTTTCCCTTGCAGGACATGGCCTCTGGAAATGGAATCCAAATCGAGTAGGATAGGAACAATAAAAGCAAAGGAAAGAGAAAAATCAGCTAAAGATAGGAGAGAGGAACACAGCCTGGGAATCCTAAAAAGCTAAAGTCCATAAACACTTTACAAAAACAACACAAGAGGGAACTCTGAGCCCAAACCAGACAGCTACCTTGACCAGCCCCTCACTCCCAAAGGTCTAGGAAAACCATTTTGCATAAAAACAAGCATCAGAAAAGGATCATAATTCAAGATCATATAAAATTATCTCAGAAAGAAAGAGGCTATGAAGCATCTTAATTCCTTACAGACAACGAATGCATGCTAAAAATATTTGCCTGCAAAACAAACGAAAACTGCAACCTAGCATTTCAAAATGAGCTCAGTTAAGACAATGACAGAGCATATGAAAGAACCAAGTCTGTCAGAATTTAAAGATTTATAAATGCAGTGACAAAATTGAGAAAAGAATTAGACATTTCTAAAGAAACAAAAATTACTTCCAGAATGAAGGAACACAAAAATGAACAAAGCAGCTAATGCCTTACAAGAAAGAGAAGAGCAAAAGTCCTCTCCTTGAGTTTCAGAAATGAGAAAGTGGCAGGCAATTAGATAGCAAAAATGATCCAACCCACATATAGTGAGCGTATCTTAAGAGGCAATTTTAATATTATAATTCAAGAAAGCTATCTTGAAGTCAGAAAAAAAAAATGGCTGCCAAGTACATATAAAGGTGAACCATGACCTGGGAGGTGGTAAAGGACAGGGAGGCCTGGCGTGCTGCAGTCCACGGGGTTGCAAAGAGTGGGACACAACTGAGTGACTGAACAACAACAAATGACCTGGGAGAACTGACCTCGCATGACCACCATTGGGACCCCGCCCCAGAGGCTGGCTACGGAAGCCCCGAGAGAGAGGATGTGTGGTGGGTGAGTCCTTTGTATAGAGCTGCTGCTTCATCCCTCCCTAGCTGAAGGAGAGAGGCTTTCTGGGACCACCCAGAGACCTTGAGCAGTGGTCACCAGGGTCTGGGAAACTCAGTAGTTGGGGGCACAACTCCTGCCCAGGGAACATGGAGGGTGGGAGAAATGGGAGAGTGGGTTTCTTTGATGATGGAGTGATGAGGATCTGTGTGCATCTGTGTCCAGGAGGCACAATCCTCCCTCCAGTAGCCGGTCATTTCCTGATGACCAGATGTGAACTGAGAGAGCCAGCCTGGAGCCACTGTAAACCCTTCCTGACTCCCATAAAGGGGAGGGGACACTGACAGCTAGTTCCTGGTGGTCATGGATGCCTGCAGATCCAGGGCCAGGGGTGGAGGGGCAGTGTGGTGGGCTTGCCTTGGGTGAGGGGTGTTAAGTGCATGGTGCGTGCTAAGTTGCTTCAATCCTGTCTGACTCTTTGTGATCCTATGGACTGTAGACCGCCAGGCTCCACTGTCTATGGGGATTCTCCAGGCAATAATACTGGAGTGGGTTGCCACACCCTCCTCCAGGGGATCTTCCCCACCCAGGGATGGAACCTGTGTCTCCTGCATCACAGGTGGATTGTTTACCTCTGAGCCACCGGGGAAGCCCGAGGGGTGGTAAGTCAGTTCAGCTCCATCGCTCGGTCGTGTCCGACTCTTCGGACCCCATGAATTGCACACGCCAGGCCTCCCTGTTCATCACCAACTCCCGGGGTTTACTCAAACTCATGCCCATCGAGTCGGTGATGCCATCCAGCCATCTCATCCTCTGTCGTCCCCTTCTCCTCCTGCCCCCAGTCCCTCCCAGCATCAGGGTCTTTTCCAGCGAGTCAGCTCTTCGCATGAGGTGGCCAAAGTATTGGAGTTTCAGCTTCAGCATCAGTCCTTCCAGTGAACACCCAGGACTGATCACCTTCAGGATGGACTGGTTGGATCTCCTTGCAGTCCAAGGGACTCTCAAGAGTCTTCTCCAACACCACAGTTCAAAAGCATCAATTTTTTGGCACTCAGCTTTCTTCACAGTCCAACTCTCACATCCATACATGACCACTGGAAAAGCCATAGCCTTGACCAGACAGACCGTTGTTGGCAAAGTAATGTCTCTGCTTTTTAATATGCTGTCTAGGTTGGTCATAACTTTCCTTCCAAGGAGTAAGCGTCTTTTGATTTCATGGCTGCAGTCACCATCCGGAGTGATTTTGGAGCCCCAAAAAATAAAGTCTGACACTGTTTCTACTGTCTCCCCATCTATTTCCCATGAGGTGATGGGACCAGATGCCATGATCTTAGTTTTCTGAATGTTGAGCTTTAAGCCAACTTTTTCACTCTACTCTTTCACTTTCATCAAGAGGCTTTTCAGTTCCTCTTCACTCTCTGTCATAAGGGTGGTGTCATCTGCATATCTGAGGTTATTGATATTTCTCCCGGCAATCTTGATTCCAGCTTGTGCTTCTTCCAGCCCAGCGTTTCTCATGATGTACTCTGCATATAAGTTAAATAAGCAGGGTGACAATATACAGCCTTGACGTACTCCTTTTCCTATTTGGAACGAGTCTGTTTTTCCATGTCCAGTTTAACTGTTGCTTCCTGACCTGCATATAGGTTTCTCAAGAGACAGGTCAGGTGGTCTGATATTCCCATCTCTTGAAGAATTTTCCACAGTTTATTGTGATCCATACACTAACACCCAAAAAAGATGTCCCTTTCATTATAGGGGACTGGGATGCAAAAGTAGGAAGTCAAGAAACACCTGGAGTAACAGGCAAATTTGGCCTTGGAGTACGGAATGAAGCAGGGCAAAGGTTAATAGAGTTTTGCCAAGAGAACGCACTGGTCATAGCAAACACCCTCTTCCAACAACACTAGAGAAGACTCTACACATGGACATCACCAGATGGTCAACACCGAAATCAGATTGATTATATTCTTTGCAGCCAAAGATGGAGAAGCTCTATACAGTCAGCAAAAACAAGACCAGGAGCTGACTGTGGCTCAGATCATGAACTCCTTATTGCCAAATTCAGACTTAAACTGAAGAAAGTAGGGAAAACCACTAGACCATTCAGGTATGACCTAAATCAAATCCCTTATGACTATACAGGGGTGGTAAGTAGGGGACTTCAAATAACCCAAGAAACCTCCTAAGAGAAAAAGTCAGTTTCAAAATCAAGAAACAAGGGGCTTCCCCTGTGGTCCAGTGATTAAGACTCCACCTTCTAATGTATGGGATGCAGGTTTGGCCCCTGGTCAGGGAACTAAGATGCCTCATGATCAAAAAGCCAGAGCATAAACAACCAATGCAATATTGTAACAAATTCAATAAAGACCTTGAAAATAGTCCACATTCAAAAAAAAAAAAAATCACAGGGACTTCTCTGGTGGTACAGTGGATAAAAGTATATGGGTTAAGTATAAAAGTATATAGTTGCTCCACATGCCATGGAGCAACTAAGCCCATGAGCTGCAACTACTGAAGCCCATGCACCTAGAGGCCATGCTTCGCAACAAGAAAAGCCACCACAATGAGAAGCCTGAGCACCACAACTAGAGAGCAGCCCCTGCTCACTGCAACTAGAGAAAGCCATTGTGCAACAACAAAAACTCAGCACAATCAAAAATAAATAAATAAAAATTATAATTTAAAAAAATCTTCAAAAATAAAATCTAATCAGGAAAACTGAAGGAGAGGAGGGACAACCCAGTCCCCACAAAGAAGGGCCATCATAACATAAGGCCATGCTGACTGAAGGGGGGTGATGTGGCTACTTCAAAATTTTGATAGTTTTCAGGCACTGGACATTTTAATATCTGAATTGAGACAGCTTTTGCAGTTTAAAGGGACCAAAGTCTTTTTATATTCTAAGAGGGAGCCCATATATGCTTAGGGGGCCTGCCCAGAGACCAGCTTTTACTCAGGAGCAAGAGGAAGACTTCTCCCACTGACAAAATTATAAAAGGAAGAACAGATTTTTGCATTTTGATGATACCCTCGAAGTTGTACTTGTTCAATGTATTAACTGCATGATCTTGTGTTGGTTTTTCTATCACTCGTTACAGAAAGACTCTAACACAGTGACTTAGTAGATAGTAAAGCTTTGGAGCCAGCAGTAGTCTCCTCTATGGGTTAATGTCTATTCTGTCTATTTTACAGAATAGATAAGTGAGGCAAAGAGGCCTCAGGATTGTCTTACCCAAGGGACCCTTGCAAGCTGGGACTGTCAACATCTAACTCCATGAGTCTGCTTTTATCACCCTTCTTCAAATTAACCTATTCATCCTCACTCCTTTTACTGAACGTCTTCCATATGAAAACACTAGGGTTTGCCTAGGGAATATTTAGATCAAGCAGCCACAGATCCTATTTCCAAGAACAGGCTTATAATAAAATGAAGGAGAAACATCACATGTAAAAGTCTAAAGTGAAAAGAAGGAACTGAGATGGGTAGATGGAGGGTGTCACTGATCCTCCACCCCACCATGACTCTAGGCTGTGGGAACGGGATGCCAAGGCAGTCTGCATGGAGGACCCACCTGTGTACTGTGTTCTGGGAAGTTCCTGAGAGTTTCAAGAAACAGTCACTGTTCTGCTCGGCGGCCAACAGCATGGAGCTTTCACTGGGCTGAGAGGATGATGGCAGGCTGTTTTCAGACTGGATGGAGAAATTGACAGTCAGATGAACGGGTCTGATCTCCAATAGCTCTTGGCCTTCTTAGGCCAGAACCTTGAAGAAATTTACTTGTATCTTCCAGCCTACTCCTGGGAACTGTTCCTTAAACGTTAAGCCCTGGAATCATCAGACCAAAAACAGGGCCCCTAGCAGGGTCTCCTCCTCTCCCTGATGGACTGCTTTGGCTACTCTGCCTAGAGCACAAGTTCTGAGCCTTATGAACGAGAGCAGCAGAGCTGTAAGGGCTGACTTCAAAGTCAGTGACCAAGTACCTAAAGCATACCACTTAAATGCGATGAAGCAAGTGTTTAGGTCTTGAAATCTGGAGGTTTAAGGCTATCTAATCTATCATACTTTTCCTTCTTAGGCTTCTACCCTAACCAGGTACTGGGAAAGCCTTCTGTATGTCAAAAGAAGAAAAAAAAAATCCTTAAATAAACTAAATGGGAAAACCAAATCCTTAGAGCAAATATTTGCAAAAACTCATGATTAAAGGCTTAAAGTTCCTGACATATAAAAAGCTCTGTTTTATAAATCAACTTAGAAAAATGCAAAGTTGCCAACAGAAAAATGGTCAAAGAACGCAAAAGATAGTGCAAAAAAAAAAAAGTTGGCGTTCAAATTCATTGAAAATCAAACAGCTGCCACTTTTTTTTTAACTTGTCATATTAGACAAGGAAAATTTACGCTTCTCAATTGTGATAAGGATACAGTGACACAGTCACTCATATTATTAGAGAGAGTATAATTTGGTATGAACTTCCTGGAAATAATCTGACAATATGTATTGAGAGCCTTAAAAATGTCACACCCTTTGAATTCTGCTTCTAAATCTATTCTGGGAAAACTATCAGAAATGTGGACAATACATAAATGCTTGTTTTAGCATCAGTTACAATAATAAAAAGTTAGGAATTACTCTGAATGTCTGATATTAGAGGAATGGTGAAGTAAATTTTAGCTCATTCATACAACTGAATAGCATGAAATTATCAAAATGATGTGTACAAAGGGCTTTTGAAGGAAATGGGAAATGATTATGATATATGATATAATCTCAACTGGAAAAAAAGCAACATTGAGAAATATGTTTATATATGTAATGGCCTCAAAGATAAAAGTTAAAAATTAAGATGAAAGACTAGGAGAATATATGCCAAAATGTTCCAAATGATTGCTTAGGGCTAGAGGGGAGTGGGGGTGATTTTTCTGTAATTTTCTGATTTTTCTTCAGTGAACATTATTCCTTTATAACACTGGGAAAAAAAAAACACCCAGAAAACAGTTTTTAAGTGAGTTCAGTATTTTATCACTAATTAGGAAAGCAAAGTTACTTTTTAATGTCTGTAGACCTCAGCGTGGTGTGTGCACATCACTGACTTGAAAAAGAAGGTGCTGATCCCCACACAGTGCTAGACTTTAACATCCATCCATTCTCCAGAGACAGTATGTCTCCAATTCCCAGATGACCTTATGGATCTTGGCAGGATCTGGGTGAAACTTACTGTTTCTGTTGGCAACTTGGGCACCAGGCAGTGAGAGATTCGGATTCTTGGATCTTTGGTGGTGATAGACAGACCTCTCTGCAGAATTTTCACCAGACGGATCCAGAACTGAAACACGGTCTCTGGGTGTTTTTCGTGGAGCCTCAGGTAGTAGATCTTTTCAGTCACTGTTCTAACCCTTAGGATGCGTTGGAGCCGGTCATAGATTTGCAGTTCCACATACTTCAGGGGCAGAATCCTGGGCACAGTCAGGAAGTTCCCATGACAGAGGCTCCAGTGGTTTTAATGTACCTTGCTGGGTTAACCCCACTAGACTCCTGCCTCTGCTTGGGGGATGCTGGGGAGCGAAAACTTGTGGTCTGAGGGTGGAAATGATCACTAAAACCTATTCTTCTCTGATTTCTAGAGCCTTGGTTATTAAAGAATCTGCTCAAACCAACAACAATGGCTGATGGTTGATGTATAAAATCTCATTTAACCCTCACAACAACCCCTTGATGAAGGAAAGATATGTAGTATTAATTCCCTGTTATAGAATTTGAAACTGTGGCTCAGAGAAGCTAAGTGATTTGCCCAAGTTTAGATCTTAAGTAGGAACTGGAACTAAGATTTTCTGACTCCATCTCCAGGTCTCCTTCTCCCTAGATCCTGAGTAACTGTGCTGAAAGAGTAAGGAGAAGGATGGAGGTCTGGTATTTTACATCCAGTATTTTTTTTCAATTTCAATACCTCATAATCCTATTTGACTTTCATATCATTCACCTTTCTTTTTGAAAACCTCCAAGTCTATATTGACAAAACAAAAAGTAAGCAAAAGGAAGCCACAATTCTCAAAAACTAGGAAGAGACAGGGGCTGGTGCTCTACCCCAGCACCAAGTACAGTGCTAGGTACATACAGACCTAAATAAATATTTGTTAAATGAATGAAGGAAGCCTACACAGTTTATAAGCTAAAGAACACTGTCCTTTCTTCTTGTCTAGAAACCAGTGGCAAAACAGCTCAGTTGTTCACCCAGCCCCTCTCAGCACCTCCCTCACATCTTCGTTTACCTGCTGAGGGTGATGACTGGGGCACTCTCCGGCGTGCTCCAGGTGGAAAACTGACCCTGGGGCCAGGTGACGTTGGCCATCAGGAGGATGTTGGGGAGTGGTAAGGAGGGTACGGACGAGGTCACCCCAAGGATCACAGTGGTTGGCCCTTCACAGTCATCTATCCAGTTTCCGGGCTTAGTGACCTAGAAGTTAGCCCCAGGCACATGGAGTCAGACAGAAACAGAAGACAGGGGTGGATTACAGGTGCTAGAAAATGGCACTTGAACTTGGCAACAGGCTTGGAGCACCTGTGTTCTCGCACACTGGGCCGGGCCATGACCTGCCGTCCGTCCTTCCCGTGGGTTCTCCCCAAAGAGACATTAGGTCATTGGCAACAGGAACTTGGTCACCTGCCTTCGTGTGCTTGGCATGACTAACTTTAAAAGGATGTGCTGGTAAGACAAAACTGATCACCATTTTATTCCTCCATCCTTGGGCAGAAGAAGGCAGCCCAGGTTTCTAATGATCTGGGAGGGGGATTCTGCAAAGAAAGTTCCAGAAGGGGAGGAGAAGGAGGAAAAAGCTGTTGAATGGGGAAGACCCAGGCAGCCCAACTTGAGAGAGGTTTGGGGAGCTTCCCTCAAGTTGATGGACAGTCTGGCTTGCTGCTGGGTCCTGAGAGGAATAAGGACCTCTTCTCTTGCGGCGCTCAGGGCAGTGGCAGGACAGGAAGAAGGCAGCCTGGCACTTGGGCACAGTCTCAGCTGAGACACCCCCACACCTCACTGTCCAGGACAGGCAGATGAGCACCAGCACTGTAGCATCCAAGGAACCACAGGGATCAGGATCTAAGGGGTGACCCCTATGTTCCCAAGACCAGAGGGCCTTCTCCCAATGTCCCAGACTCTGTACAACCATCAGGGCCATTCACAGCCTGTGATGGATCTGAGCAAATGGGGAGAGCTCCAGCAATGCCTGAAATGTAGGTTTCCACAAGCCTAGTAAAGGGTGAGTGAGTGAGTGAAGTCGCTCAGTCGTGTCCAACTCTTTGTGACCCCGTGGACCTACCAGGCTCCTCCGTCCATGGGGTTCTCCAGGCAAGAATACTGGAGTGGGTTGCCATTTCCTTCTCCACTAGTAGAGGGTACTCTGAGAAAAGTGAATTTTGATTTTGAGAAGAAATAAGAGTAACATTTCTTGAAGCCTATATTGTGGAACAAAATTTGTGTGTGCTACAAAACACAGAGGGTCACACACACAGAGTAATACATAAATGTTTGCAGGTGATGTTTCTTGGCCGTGACGGTAGTGCTGGTGATGCTGAGGAGGGGGGAAGGAGAGAGCAGCATAACTCTGTGGGCTGGATCATTTCAAGGCAGCTTTTAGCTCTGACGAGCTAGCTTCAGCGGGCAGGCTTTTCCCCTCCCTGGCACAGTCTGAGTCTCCTGGGGCGGCTCAGGGATGGGGAAGACATGGAGCTATGAACCAGCTCGCTGAGGCCTGGGGCACCTCATCAGAGAGAGGCTCACTACTCTGAGAAACAGTCTCCAAATTAAGGACAACACCCACCTCCGATTATTTCCACCCTCTCTCCCAGGGTTCCTCATCACTTTTCAAACTCCACCAGATAGATTCCCGACTGTAGACCCTCCCTGTGCATTCCAGCCTCCTGGCTTCACCCAGGAGCTTGAAAACCTTTCCCTCTGCCTAAAAGGTTTTCCCGGTCAACTCTTCCGCTTACCAAAGTCTTAGCAACACTTCAAAGAGATGCTTTCCCAGAAGCTTTCCCAGAATACGGGGAAAGCTTCCACAACCACCCATGTTGAGGGTTTGCTCTGCTCATGCTATAGGGCTCAGCGGGTCCAAACCCTCTGACACAGAGCTTTCTTAACAACTACCATTTCACATTATGTCCTTTGAACCTCCAAAGTCACAAGCTTCTTGGCCAGGGGCACTATCTCATCTCTCTTTGCATCTCCTGCCCCTCACACAGCTTGTTAACAAACTGGCGATGCTATACCTGCCACGGAGCACAGTGGGGTCACCAGCCAGACCACTGGAGGGAGGTGGAGGGGGCACCTCGGTAAAATGTCACATGGGTTGAAATGACCATCCTGTGCTCTTGGCAGCTCCATGCTTCTCAGGCCACACTCATTCGAGTGGGTCATATTAGTACTCTTCTGGGGACCAGTAGAATCTGGGCAAGGCTAATTTATCCAGGACCTTGCTCTCATGCAAGGGTGTTTGTAAGACAACCTAGAAAGAAGGAGGTCGGGTCTCAGAGCAGAAATTCTGACAGCCGCCTTCACCCCCTTTAACCATTCGGTATGCACTGGCGGCCCCAGAAGGTGCCTGTGGACCCCTCACTCACCCCTGGAAAATGGTTCCTGCTATCTCCTTCTGCAGGTATATCTCTTGTGATGCTGTAGGCACAAACTGAGGTGAACTTGGGATCTAGGCACTCCTGTTTTCTCTGGCTCTACCTGCTTCCCTGCTTCTTCCTCCTCCCCACAGCTTTCAAAGGCTGTGGCATTTGGGGGCCAAACCTTGGGAATAGGCTTTGGGGTGCGGGGCGGCGGGGGGTGGTGGTGAGGAGAGGGGCCCTGAGCACACAGGGTACCTGGATAAAGATGCTTTCAAACACCACTGAGTCAGAGAACAAGTTGAATTCTGGAGAATGAATCAGTTGACAAAGGAGGCCATCTTCCACCCCAAGTTCCACTCCAGGGCCTGGTTCCCTGACCTCAGGTGGGAGGCCCCGAATTTTACTCATTGGTTCTTGGGAAGAATGGGCTGGGGAACATCTCTGGGGCTCCACGCAGACCCAGCCCAACTCCAAGGTGGTGTTGTGACCTCTTCTGCCCCCACCTCCACAGTGCCGCCCCTCCTGATGTAGGGCTGTCCCCCAGGCTGGGGGGTGGGGGACGCTGCGGGCTCACAATGGCAGGAATGACATCAAGGAATGTGATGGGTACCAACAGGAAAGGAAGGCAGACAAGAGGTGAGGAAGGACTGGCAGTCAGCAGGGCGTGTCTCTCCTCTTTCCTACTCACTACAAACCAGCAGTAATGGAGCCTCCTCCATTCTTCACTCAGCCTCCTCACACACACACAAGGAGAACGATTCTCCCAAGGTTGTGGCCTGATTGTGAGCTGCCAGAGCAGCAAGGGAGTCTCTCTGAAGCCTCTCACAAAAACTTTCTCTGTTTGTGTGACCTGTTCACCTAATGCCAGGCCTTCACCAGGCCAGGGGAGGTCAGGATGGGGGTCACAATTCAGCCTAATCTTTCCTCCCCATCTCATGAGATGAAAAAAAAAATATTTTTAAACATCAGGTTATTGACAAAGCAAGGAGGCTTATTTATTTGGAAGCTGAATGAGTGAGCGAGGAAGTATGATACAGTGTATGCTGGAGCATCAGAGAAAAGATCATGAAAACCAACTATTATCTTTTTAGGAATTTGAATGAGCCAGTTAAACACAGCCATTATTTTTTATTTTTTCCATTTATTTTTATTAGTTGGAGGCTAATTACTTTACAATATTGTAGTGGTTTTTGCCATACATTGACATGAATCAGCCATGGATTTACATGTGTTCCCCATCCCGATCCCACCTCCCGCCTCCCTCCCCATCCCATCCCTCTGGGTCTTCCCAGTGCACCAGCCCTGAGCACTTGTCTCATGCATCCAACCTGGGCTGGCGATCTGTTTCACACTTGATAATATACATGTTTCAATGCTATTCTCTCAGATCATCCCACCCTCACCTTCTCCCACAGAGTCCAAAAGTCTGTTCTGTACATCTGTGTCTCTTTTTCTGTCCTGCATATAGGGTTATTGTTACTGTCTTTTTAAATTCCATATATATGCGTTAGTATACTATATTGGTAAACACAGCCATTATTTAAAATTTAATAAGATAAACTGATAATTAAATAAGTTATATAAAAAGCAAGGTAACAGATGCCCAAACTCATCACTTCTTAATCATTTTACTCTATTTTATGTCTCTTTATTCCCTTGGGGCTATTGGTTTCTATTGGTAGAAACGATATATAATGTGCTACCTTTACTTCTCTCTTCTCAGGGTGTACAGAGAGTTCACAGTGGTTGCTGTCTTGAAACCAGCCATGCTGGGAGGTGTTTACATGATGGAAATCAGCCAATGCTAAAATCTGGCCTTAATTTATTGCTGTTGTGATTGTCTGAAGGGATAAAGAAAATGTCAGTGATGTCGACTAAAAGAGTGTCTATAGCTGTTACATTGTGGGCGCAGAGAGAAATCTGAGGAAATGATGTTCCAGTTGAAAGGTATTTGAAAGGTATTATCTAAATTAGCAAAAAAGGTCATTATCCTTAATAGAGTTCCGAAAGGCAGCTGTATTTCACATCCCCCGTATTCACGAATGTGAGTGGAGAAACCAGCCCGCATTCATGTCAGAACTACACTGGCTTGTCAGTTGCACTGGTTGGCTAGGAACACAAAAATCCATGAACGCTTTCTATGAGAATCAACTGGCATCTGAAAGTTACAGTAGAATACCGTATAGTCTATTGTTGTAAATTGTGTGCTTTAAAGTAAATTTTTATTAAGTAAAATGTTATAAAGTAAGATTTCTTTAAAGAAAGAAGCATGTATACTTATATGTATTTCCCCTTCCCGCTGCCCCCTTGGAAAGCTGGTGGTTAGACATTTACCAGCACACCACTGTGGTGGTACTGACTACTCCTCTCCCACTGCAATTCTTTCCCTGGTCCCAGGACACGAAACTTTCACTTAAAGACATCTTCAGGTTGCATGAAGTTGAGAAGGGATGAGCCATTAGTTACCTCTCTCAGACACTGGCGGTACAGCTACAGGCTCCCTCACTTGGTGCTCATTCAAGAACAGGCCAAGGGGTGACTTCTCTTCATCTCAGACACACACTGCTGCAGCCCACCCATGACTGCGCTTGAATCTTCTGGTGCCTCTCCTATCAGGAGGGGAACCTGCTTCTCATTGTCTTCCCAAAGCTGTGACATCAGAAGCAGGATTAGCTTATTTCTTCTTAAGGCTCACTCACTAGAAGAGAAAATTTTTCTCTTTTATTGATGCAAAGTCTGTAAGACCAGGGATTTAAACATTCAAACACTTCAAGACTATTACTTTTGTTTTCTTATCTCAGTGCTCTCTGTAACATTGTTTCTCCTTTCCTTGTAAAAAGAAAAAACAAAAAACAAACAGGAAACTTCTCTTACAATGTTTGTAGCATAAACCAAAAATTTAAATGACATCGAGAACATCAGCATGACCACTTATGCCAGAGTACCTCACTTACTTGTATAGTAAGTTCTAGTGTTAAATAAGTGGAAGAATGTTCCCTGCAACACTGTTTGCGGTAACAAAAGACTGGAGACAACTTAAATGTCCATCAACAGGGCAGCAGTTAAATTATGATACAAACCCTAACCTTAACCCTAACCATAATCTATAATGAGGTAATGGTTTGCAGCCAATGAAAGAATAAGGTAGCTTTATATATATTGATAAGGAATGATTACCAAGACATTAAGTGAAAACAAGATGCAGAACAGTATATATAATATGCCATCACTTGGGTAAAAGGAATTTGAATATATACCCATATGAATATGTTTGAACATGCCCAAAAACTTCGGGGAGGATAAAAATGTGGTTGTGTTAGGGAGGGGTAGGGCACTGGCAACTGTGGTGAAAAGAAAGGACTTATTTTTCACAGTATATATATATATATGCTTGAATATATAGTATACTATATATACAGTATATACTATACATAGTATATTACATATTATTTAATATAATATATAATTATATACTATAATTATAATTTAATATAATGCATAATGTATATTTATTTTATATATGCTAATATATACTGTGTGTATATATACAGTATATATATATATGCTTGAATTATTTACCGTGAGCATGTATTTCCTTTGTAAATAAATTTTAAAATAAAAAGTGTTAAAGAATTATCCTATGTATGGCCCTACAAATATTTGCTGAGAAGCAACTATGTTTGCCAAGGTACGCCACATGTTGGAAGAACCATTACTAGCTCTGAAAGTAGTCTGATCAGGGTTGTGGACGTGGTCAGGACTGTCTTAGACATAACTCTTTACTTGTTGAGGTTAAAAAAAAACCAAAAACATATTTGAAGAAATAAGGGTGGGAAACTTTCCAAATGTAATAGAAACTGTAAACCTGCATCTACACAAAGAATAAGAACACTAGAAACTGTAAATATGTAAGTAAACTTTAAAAATATACATATTAAAATATATACTATAGGGCTTCCTTGGTGGCTTAGACGTTGGAAGAATCTACCTCCAACTCAGGAGACCCGGGTTTAATCCCTGGGTTGGGAAGATCCCCTGGAGAAGGAAATGGCTACCCACTTCAGCATGGACAGAGAAGCCTGGAAATTGTAAATATATAAGCAAATTTTTAAAATATACATATTAAAATATAGTATATAATTTTAAGAGTTCTTTGAATAAGGTGTTTTAAAAATTACAACAATGTAATATGTAATATCAAATTTAGAACACATGCAGAAGTAAAATACATGACAAGAATGGCACATTAAATAAGAGTGTGGAGATAAAAATGTACTGTTGCATGGCTCTGACATTGTACATGAGTGGTGTAACACTATTTGAAGGTTGACTGTAGTAAGTTGAAGATGTCTATTGTAAACCCTAGAAGAGAGAAATCATTAAAAAAATTAAATGAAAGAGGTATAGCTAATAAATAAATAGTGGAGGCACAATACAACACTGAAGAATTTTCAGATAATCCAAGAGAAGAAAGAAAACAGTAATAAAGACAGTTAATGCTCAGTGGTGATGTATTTTTTAAAACTATTTTAATATATGTTTTATTTACTTATTTTTTTATTTTGGCTGCACTGGGTCTTCATTGCCACATGTGGGCTCTTTGTTGGGGCATGTGGGTTTCTCTTATTGCAGAACATAGGCTCAAGTGCACAGAATCAATAGTTGTAACGACATGGGCTTGGTTGCCCTGTGGCATTTGGGACCTCCATTCCCTGACCAGGGATTGAACCCGGGGGTCCCCTGAAGTGGAAAGCAGATTCTTAACCACTGGACCACCAGGGAAGTCCCTGAAGTGATGAATGCTGAGTCATCAAGTTGGTATAAGTTTGCCATATAAAGCAAATCAAGTTTGTTGGCATTATTAATACTCTGTGTGCAAAGCAGCATATAAAATAAGCATTGTAAGTTATAGCCATTTTATAATTTTAAATTTTGTTACAATAAGTTTGCCTAGGAAAAAAAATCTCACATGTGCCCACATAAGAATTACCTTGAGGGTGATAAAACTCATTGATTTATTTTTCTTTACTGCATTTTGAAGAGTCCTTGAAAAAGGGGGAAAAAAAAGGAAAAACCATGATGTAGACAAAAGAGCTGCATACTGGAACAGACCACCAATTAATTCAGTGACATTGTCTAAGTTACTTAGTTTTCTTCTGTTTCCTCTGTGGTAAAATGTCAAGACACCACCCTATACACTAGCCATCAGCCACACGTGATTACTAAGCGCTTGAAATGTGGCTAATCCAAATGCAGGTGTGTTGTGTTAAATACTCACCAATACAGATACACGCTTAGAACAAAAATAAAAATGTAAAATATCTCATTAATAATTTTTCATGTTGATTACATATTGAAATATTCTTAATGTATTAGGTTAGCTAAAATTGGTTTAAAATACCTTTTCC